TCATTGATCTAAGGAAACAAAGGGAGAAAAAATGGTTGTTGTTTTTTTTTTATTGAGGTTATCTTTGGAATACCTTTTTGTTTATTTTACAGAGGATGCCTTTTCTGGCATGGATTGGATGGTGGAGAAGATGGATCTGAAGGAGTTTGACTTTGATGCGCTGTTAGGTATTGATCTGGAAGCCACCGTCTCCCCAGATGAGCTCATGGCCACGTTGGAAGACACGTGTGATCTGCTTGACCCGCCCATTGAAGAAATTCCCAGCAAAGAAAGTTTATTAATACCAGAACCAATTAACCATTCCCCTAGGTCTCCTGAGGCAGACCAGGTGGCCCCATTGACCACATTGTTGCCATGTCCAGCATCCCAAGGACCACTGATTTCCACTATTGACCATTCATTCAGTTTAGAGCTAGGTAGTGAAGTAGACATTCTTGAAGGAGACAGGAAAACAGAAACCCCAACTACTTTAGTGTTTCCCAAGTGTGAAAAAGAAGATGAAGCACATTCTGACAATGATAGTGGAATATGTATGAGCCCAGAGTCTTACCTGGGATCACCTCAACAAAGTCCTGCTGCTTCTACTAGCTCCCTTAGTGATAACCAATCAGTTACAACCCAGTCTGATGTTTCTCCACGGCCCAAGCCTTATGATTGCCCTCCAGAAAACATGCTATCATTAAAGATGAAGGGAGAAAAGAGAATAGATAAAAAACTGAAGAAGATGGAGCAGAATAAGACAGCAGCTACACGATATAGGCAGAAAAAAAGGGCAGAGCAAGAAGCTTTATCAGGAGAGTGTAGAGAACTAGAGCAGAAGAATGAAGCCCTAAAGGAAAAAGCTGATTCCCTGAGCAAAGAAATTCAGTATTTGAAAGATCTGATTGAAGAAGTCCGCAAAGCCAAGGGTAAAAAGGCTAAAGCCCCAGAATAGCGAAGAGTAGAAGTTACATGCATGTATATTGCTTAGTGCAAACAACTATGTATTAATGCTTAATAAATTATTTTCTAGTTTGGATATGTATATTGAGTGAGATTTTGTTTGGAACAGATTAGGCTTTCTCAATTCAAAAATCCAGTTATTACATTAAAAATGAACTGCAAAAAGATAACACCTGGTGCTACACGTTTAGTCTGAAACTTAGAAATATTCTGACATGCAAAGGGAATTTTAAGTGAGGGTATAGCCTGGCAATTTATCCCTCAATTTATACCTTGGACAATTGCATTTGAATGGTGTCAACTTAAAAGCATCAACATATATGCTAGGTTTGTGTTTTAAAAAGTGGAAGTGGTATGTTAGAATGTTGAGGTAGATGGGATCTCTAGTGCAAGGTGTGAAAATAGATTGGATATTAATGTTATGTAGCTTATTGAGGCTATGATCAATTTGCTGAGCGGAATGAGGCAATAGGTGTATGGTTGCTGGATGGAAATGAGCTTTTTGATCTTGTCAGACTTGGACCTCACACGTAAGCTGATCATTTTTTATATACATGGGAGCAAACCCAAGCTATGCTATGGGAACAAAATTTCCCTTCTGAGCATTACATGATCCAGCTAGCGTTCCTCCCCCCCCCCCCAGCGTTTTTCCTGCAGGTGCAGTCCTTTTTTTGGGTTTTTTTTTTTTTTTCATCAAATGTTGATCCATTCGTTGAGACAGGAATTGACCAACTGGCTTGTCGCCTGAGCCTGACATGGGCTAAGAGAATGACCGGCCCAAAGTCGTTCAGCCATTTTTCATGCCTAAGGCAGGACTAGAACTCTGTTTCCTGGTTTCTAGCCTCATGCCTTAACCACTAGACCAAACCGGCTCTCACATACGACCGAACGATATCGCTCTCACTACAAGTTCACTTTCATGCTTACAGCAATATAATTGTCTGATAATTTGGATAGCTGCATGCAATGAATTGAAGGTATTGAACACTGAACAATTGAACATTCCTGAAGGTATCTTACCTGGTGAATTTATCCTTAATAAAACTGCCTATGGCAGGATTAGACCAAAAAGAGCTGAATTTTAGTTTAAGGACAAAGGGCAACCAACATTTCAGATCGAAACTTTCTACAGTTGTAAAAAACAACTCATTTTTAGGCTTAGCAAGGATCTCATTACTTTAAGCTATGGTCTGATGAGCAGGTATGGGAGGGAGATTGCTCCTTGTGCTATTTGGAATGGTTAGTTTCCAGTAAGTTCTAAGGAACTTGGCTATGCAACGTGACCCAGACTGGTGCAGAAATATGTCTTGAGAAAAGGCAATAGAATGATAAAATTAAGTATTGCCAGTTTTTCATGATACAAAAAATGATAGGCCAAAATACAGTATATTCAATGAAAGATTTTGTTACTGGATCCTAGCCTAATAGATATGTGCACAAAAATGTTATGCCAGGAGAAAACCCAGATTGATTGTGTTCCAGGTTTTGGTTAGAATATTTGGCAGCACCCCAGAATGATATATAGGACAGTTAGGGCAAGTGTGGTGTGATTTGCCCCATATTTCCCCAGAACAGTCCCCAGCATGAAGTACACAGTGGCCTGTTCCTGATCTTTCAGCACCTGTCCCACTTTTGCTGCTCCTGCTATGAAAAGTCTGGCCCAAGCATCTTAATGCTGTCCTGGCAGTATGGAACAAGCTCCCAGTGTGGCATTTCCTTTCTGCCCAGCTTCTGCCTTTAAAATGTGCTCTTTACTCCGCCTTGGTTTCTGCTAAAGTATAAGCTTGTAAGCCTTTGTCATGTCAGTAAGGAACAGGCTCCCAGTGTGGCATATCCCACCTGCTCTCCATGCTGTTTTTCAACCATGATCACCTCTGTCCTTGCCTTTTTTCTGCACTTTCCCAAACCACTTCTTGTAACTGTTTTGATCTGTAACTGGAACAAAGCAGCCTCATTTCTTTCTATAAATAGATCAAAATACCTGAAATGCAGGCTACACAGGACCAGCTTTATATGTGCAGGATCCCTGGAACATTTTGCATAACCCTATCCAGTATTTAATTGCAACATCAATGTTAGAAATTCAATTTGACTTCTAAAGCACAAGCTGAGCTCATCAGTTACAGTGGGGCAAAAACGTATTTAGTCAGCCACCAATTGTGCAAGTTCTTACAGGCCTCTCTCATCTTTTTAAGTGGGAGAACTTGCACAATTGGTGGCTGACTAAATACTTTTTTGCCCCACTGTATTTTGGGTGAATGGAAGATTTTTAAAGAATTTATTTGCAAATCATGGTGGAAAATTACAGGCCTCTCTCATCTTTTTAAGTGGGAGAACTTGCACAATTGGTGGCTGACTAAATACTTTTTTGCCCCACTGTATTTTGGGTGAATGGAAGATTTTTAAAGAATTTATTTGCAAATCATGGTGGAAAATTACAGGCCTCTCTCATCTTTTTAAGTGGGAGAACTTGCACAATTGGTGGCTGACTAAATACTTTTTTGCCCCACTGTATTTTGGGTGAATGGAAGATTTTTAAAGAATTTATTTGCAAATCATGGTGGAAAATTACAGGCCTCTCTCATCTTTTTAAGTGGGAGAACTTGCACAATTGGTGGCTGACTAAATACTTTTTTGCCCCACTGTATTTTGGGTGAATGGAAGATTTTTAAAGAATTTATTTGCAAATCATGGTGGAAAATTACAGGCCTCTCTCATCTTTTTAAGTGGGAGAACTTGCACAATTGGTGGCTGACTAAATACTTTTTTGCCCCACTGTATTTTGGGTGAATGGAAGATTTTTAAAGAATTTATTTGCAAATCATGGTGGAAAATTACAGGCCTCTCTCATCTTTTTAAGTGGGAGAACTTGCACAATTGGTGGCTGACTAAATACTTTTTTGCCCCACTGTATTTTGGGTGAATGGAAGATTTTTAAAGAATTTATTTGCAAATCATGGTGGAAAATTACAGGCCTCTCTCATCTTTTTAAGTGGGAGAACTTGCACAATTGGTGGCTGACTAAATACTTTTTTGCCCCACTGTATTTTGGGTGAATGGAAGATTTTTAAAGAATTTATTTGCAAATCATGGTGGAAAATTACAGGCCTCTCTCATCTTTTTAAGTGGGAGAACTTGCACAATTGGTGGCTGACTAAATACTTTTTTGCCCCACTGTATTTTGGGTGAATGGAATACCATTCTAACTTTTTATAAGTGTATGAGCAACAGATAAATGAAGGAGTACCATTTATGCACTTGTTTTGTATTTGTAGAAATTGAATGTATAAATTATAGGTGCCTATAATTTTGAGATTGTGCTTTAAAGTAGGTCTTACAAACAGTTGAGGGACTGTTCCTCCTACAGCTGTCTTGGTGTAACTAGCAGCAATTAGCTTCTAGTTCTTGTAAAGGAAGTTCTCTTCCTTTACAGTCTATTAAGCAGACGCTACATGCTGGGCTGTTAGATTATCACAAGTTCCCCTTTCTCAAATGGGCCTTCAGATGCTAGAGAGACAATGCACAGAATGCAAAGATAGGGGTTGTCTGATCTCAACATGCTTTCAGGTAACAGCAAGACAAGTGTGGCAGTTCGAATACTGTACCAAGTGAGCACATGCTGTAGTGTCATTTGGTAACTCTTAATTTCATCTCTGCTTTTCCTTGCTGATAACTCAAGTTTGTATCAGGTAAAATATTCCCAATTTCTTGATAGCTTTTGGTTATTTTTGGCCCAATGTAAGGGGTAAGAAAGATGACATTGACGGAATTAGGCAAGAACTGCTACCTAGGTAAAAAGAGGCTGAAACGTGTTTGAAACATGCTGAAACTCATTATTGATCACAATTTAACCTGCATGTTGTGTGAACCCAGCATGGTTTTATAGTTCAATGTAGAGTTGTGCACAATGTTCTGGTGTGTGGAACAGCTGGTTTTGATTGGCTTGTGCTCAAACTGAAATGTATTTTGTTTTATTTTACACTGCTGAATCAATAAAGACAATGATTTACAGCAGTCCAATAAAACTTGCAACCAGTTAAAATGTTTACAATCAGCATAATTCAATTCAAACATAGACAATATAAAATAAAAATTACAATAAGAGGGAAAAAAATAACCAAAATACAAGAGGAAAATAGGACACAACAGTTAAATTGAAATTCAAAAATGGTGACAATTAGTCAAATGCTTCACAGAAGAGTTCAGTCCTATGCAGTTTCCAGAATGTTAAAAGGAATAGGGTGAGTCTTAGTTCCAAGGGAAGGCTACTGTGTTCTGTAAGTCTGAAGCAGCAACTGAGAAATGGCACTTCCTGGCCCCCATTTTTCAGATGTTTGGGACTGGGACTATTTTGTTCCAAATATGGATTGAAACCTGATTTTGGCAGAGCTGGTTTGGGAGATGGGGAGGAGCAAAGGGCAGTGGCTGGGAAAGAAGAGACTTCTTATGAGTCATCACTAGTGGCTGATTTTAATGGTTGAAACATACCAACTCCGTGTACATGCTCAGCTACAAACTAACCACTGTAGCCTAGCATGATGGAGTAATTTACCCATCTGAATAGCTTAGGATAGCATATTATGGAAATCCAGAAAATTGGGTTAGTTAAATTTACTACAGATATGCATGTTGTGCCAAACACAGCTAGTGAAACGTGAAAATGCACTCCTTCCCACAAAATTGGAAATAATGGTTTCATATGGTTAAAGGCTTGCTTTATACAATTTTAAAACTGGAAATTAGACAGCTAATAGATACAACTATACTGTTGTGAAAGGAATAAAAAGGAGACACCATTCTTGCAACTTTTCCATATTGCATCAGTATGAATTTTCCAACCACTCTTCAACATTTGATTACTTCTTTGACCCACTCTTGCTCCTGTTTGAAGTTCCTCCAGTTTTGCTCATCTATACCTGCCTGCTTCTAAAAATGATAAAATATTGTCAGGCTATTCAGCATTCCTGGTACTTCACAAATAAACAATTTTTCCCTGAAACTCTGTAAAGAACCTTTTCATTTATTAAAGAAATGACAAATGATACATTGAATAAAGAAACTTGGAAACATTTGAAAAGTAACTACACAGGATATGGTAGGAAACTATACAAACTACTCCATTTTGAGAAGAAAAGGGTATTGCAAGGGCACCCTTTCCCCAAAGGTATTACAAAATAGTGATTTATTGTTATACTTGCATCTTGAGTATAATAATAAAATTCACTGCATTTGTGATATCCTTGTGGAAGGTAGCATTTCAAATACCTATAATTCTTTGTTGCTGTTACATTATTATATATAAATGAAGAACATTGAACCAAAGAAATATTTGGTTATAAATTAAATCAAGTTTTATACTGCTACTTCTCAGAAGTGTAATTGTTGGTCTGTTGCAGCAAAACAATGAAGAGTTTTGCACTTGTGCAATAAAGCACACCCCTTCACCTCTCATATTCAACATCAAATCCAAATTCTCTCTTCCACGTTTATAGGAATTACCTGCTTAAGTTAACTTACACCTAGTGATTGTGGCAAAAGACTGCTTTGTCTGGTTCAAGTTAGATTTTTTTCTAGTACAACAGTATTTTAAGAGAGTCGTGTGTCGAAATTCAGCATCAAAGATCTGGATTCTCCACTCTGGGAACAGACTGTTATCCCATATGAAGTGCAACAACTGAGCGGATCATATGTAGAAATACTGTAGTCTTTTATAATAGACATACTTCCCAACCACAATAAGACTGGCAAGCATTTACTCACTGATGCTTGATTTGTAACAATGATGAACAAGTTTCTTTTGTCAGATTGTTCCAGTTCTGCCAAAATATTCTCTCTCAAATCTCTGGAAGTCTTCTTCAGTGAAAACAGTTGCTTCTGGCTGTTGTTTCTTCACTTTTTCTACAGGGCGGTCTTTAGCTTTCCTCCCTCTATTTTGGGCTAAAATCTTCAGAAATAATGCAAAAGGAAATAATGCCACTGTCAACTTTTATTAACATAACACCTCAATA